GCCAGGATTATTAAATCTCGAGCTCATGCATATTAAAACTTTCAATTAATTTATTCTTTTTATTCCTTATTTAATGTCGAATCAAATTAGCTTGACAACACACGGTACATATCTAGGATGGATGATATTGGTATATTGGATATATATTCATGTCAAAAACTAATTTCTGTCGGTGTTTGAGCCGGAAGGAAGGCAAAAGAGGCAGAACACTGTCGAAGAATGCCAATGGATGGAAGCTTAACAAAGTAGCAGAAACAATACTGAAGAATGTCAAGAAAAGAGATAATAAAAGACTGTAATTTTTGTGTATATTTTTGTGTATTGTAATGAGCATATTAGCCCATTTATATAGTGGCTTTGAATACAATAAAGACAATAAAATAATACAGTAAACGAAATATAATAAAGTTTTAATTACAAAATCAATCAAATAATTGTAAATCAATAATTGCTTGATTCTAGCATAAATATCCTCAGCATTCCACATTTTATCACTCCCCCTCAAGCTGATGGGTTGATATTGATATCAAAAACTAATTTCCTTTCCTATATTATAATTCTTTCCTGTATCGGATTCCTACCCCTACGGAAACTCTTTCTAGGAAAGTTTAATGGTTTCATCTTAGTATTTTATTTGTATATAATGCTTAAACACATGCCAAATTCACCCACCACAAATCCTTGTTCGGAGTTAACATGGAGAAAATTTCAGTTGCAGAATCTCAACGATTTTCTGAAATGGAAAAGGCTTTGCAGAGGCATATAATTGGGCAGCCAGAAGCTGTTGAGGCCGTCAGCCGCGCCGTGCGTAGAGCTAAAGTGGGAATTAGAGACCCGAGCCGCCCTTTATCAAGCTTTCTATTTGCGGGTTCTAGTGGCGTCGGAAAAACTGAGCTTGCACATGCTTTAGCGGTTGAATATTTGGGGTCAAAAAAATCCCTAAACTACTGGAGTGGACATCCGATCAGTTCTTAGCTGGTGCCTCGTGAGGTATTGACTTCAATATTAGATTGGGCACGTACTTGATCCATGTCCGAGTGGAAATGATGGAAGCCTTCCATGTACTTTACCTGTAAAACACAGCATAGTACATTTCATTTTTGTAACTTTATTCTTTTTACCTGAATTCAGGAAAAATTACGTGCAAAGCATTAGCTAATACATTTGCTCCATTTATAATCCTGTAAGCTGTAACTAAGAGTCTAAGACAATGAGTTCTCTGATTCTCTCTTTTCGAACTTTTAACTGAAATTATTTCATTTGAGTTTGTATCTCTTTTACATTCAAGACTTTCTCTATGTCTTCTATAGTAATGGGTACTTTTTGAATGTAAAGAGATGTGATACTGCAGCATGAATAAAAAAAGTTAAATATAATGTAAAGTTTATTGTAAATGTAATTTAATTTTAACGTAACCTCAAATTACTGAAATTAGAGATGTGATACTGCTATTTTAATTAAACCACATAAAAGAAGAAGAAGAATATTTGCATCAGGTGAGATTGCTGTGGCTGCAATTAAAGCTATTAAACCAAATATCCAGCCCAGAGGGACCATCACAGCCACAGAATACCCCAATACATAGGCACTGTTTATACCAGTGGTGAGAACGAACCCAACCTGAAACCATGAATCTAGGGTTTCCAAGGTAAAAGATAAAATGAGCATAAGAACAATATTAAGCTACATAAACTGAAATTACCCAAATAAAATATTTTCCAGAAATTAAAAATGGTAATACTAACCAGTACTAATCTGATGGGCTGTTTCAGGAACCTCCTCATCATGCACTTTCCCATCAAAAGAAACCACTACTTCATTACTATTACCAGTGGTGGACGTCAACAGCCAGCAGGTGGTGGTCATGGTCGTGGTGGTGGACGTCAACAGCCAGCCGGTGGTGGTCAGTGATGATTTGTGTATGATTTAATGTTTGGGGATTCTCCATAGGTTGTTTTGTTTAAAATAACCTCAATTTTCTGTGACAAAAGCTCTCCTGGATTTGAGTGGCTTCTTGACGGCTGGATTGCTGAGAAAAGGATTCTCTTTGAAGTTAATACTCACTTTAAATTTCTAAAACCTTAGTTTATTCTTCTTAATTGATTTATTTCTTTAATTTACATTGGATTTGCAGCTTCATCTAAGACTAAACTTTTTAAAATTAATTTTTCTACTAATTCATGTGTTTCTTTAAATTTTGTTATTTTCCCACAAATGTTATTAAGCAGTTAATAAATATTTAATCACAGTTTTAAATTTAATGTAACAGATGTTGAATCATTAACGATATCAACTTGAATAACAAACATCTAACCGTTAACGTATCAACTTAAATAACGAACATCATATGTTAGACTCATTAAATTAATTTTTTTTTTTATCAAAATTTTTTTGTAAGTATAGTGATTGTGTATCTGAAAATGGGTATTCCAACATAAATTATTCTTGATTTCGGTATTTTTATATGATTAAGAATCAATATCTTATATTTATGTTTTCAATTTAATTTGTGTACATATTAATCATTAAGATTATATTATCATCTTCTGACATCAGTAATTAAAGATGTTAATCATTGAAACTTACTTAGATCTTGGAGAGTTTTGTGAATCTAACTGGAACTTGATTAATTATAAAAGAAAAATTTGTTCCTTGTTAGTTTGAATTGGACTAATATTTTCATCAAGAGGTAGATGAACAAAATGAAATGAATTCTGCAGATATATATTTTTTTAATAGTTTGATCTTTTTAAAATTGTATTTGGCTCCCTAAATTCTACATAATTCCCCTGAACCCCTGCCACATCAGCATTTTCTTGGAAAAAATTTCCAGCTTTTTCCCTCTTGTAACCAGAAAACCCAGCAGTTTTCATTTCTTTCGTTTTTACCCCAACACAACTTTGAAAACTCACAGAAATGCCCTTTCTCATATACAAAACCATAAAATTTACACATAATCTATACGAATTAAAAATGGGGGTTTTACAGAGAAGTATTAAGGTCTTGAACTCTTTCCTCAAATTGATTTGAAATGATAACCAACAGACAGGGGGAAGGATGGGAATCATAATAATGAGTTAATTAAATTAAAGAATTAGTAGTGGTGAGTTAATATTCCTGAGAAATTGGATGCATATGTTTCAGTATAAAACAGGAAATATGCATACTCTTATAACAATATAATTCCATTAAAGTTTAAAACTATAACTAGGTAGTGAGTCAAATGGAGAAACTTGAGAAAAGGTTCTGTTCGGCTGGAAATGCTAAAGAAATATGCTACAGACTTGACCCAAATGGCGAAAGAGGTAAATATATTCTTCATTGCCCAGTATTCAATAATTTAATGGTGTTCTCTCCTGTTCTGTGGCTGTTAGAAATATAATTTCTTGTTTAGGCAAGTTGGAACTTGAACTTGTCATCCAAATACTGTGTAAATTAAAGAAGGAAGAATAATTCATGCCTGATTGGCGATCCTGGTGTTGGAAAAACTTTAATAGTTGAAGGCTTAGCACTGAGGATTAGAAATAATACTTCTCCATATAAACCCCAGGAAAAGAAGGTTAATTCTACATAATAATTTATGTTTAACAGGTTTTAGTCTTTTGTGTGATAATGTTTGGTCCATCATCCTCTTCATTGACGAGGTTCACACTCTTATTGGTGCTGGTTCTGGAGGACAAGCACTAGATGCTGCTAACATCATGAAACCTAACCTTGCAAGAGGATAATTATTAATTGCCTTTGAAATCTGATTTGATTCTCAATTCGTTCTTAAATATCATTATAGTTTGCCTTTGAATTATTAATAAAGACCTTAAATATCGGTGGTAATTTGATTTCCAAGAAAAGTCATTTGCGGTTTGACCATTTGGAGATGGAAGTTGCAGAGGAGCTGAAAAAGAATTTCAGGCCAGAGTTCTTGAACAGAATTGATGAAGTGAATTTTTTTTTTCAGGTCAAAGTAACTCGCAGCTAAAAGAAATCGTAGAGATAATGCTGAAACAAGTTTACGAAAGACTGAAAGAAAAGAACAGAAAGGTTGAAGTTACAGAGAGATTTAAGGAAGAAAATGTGAAAGAAATTATAATCACAGCTATGGAGCGAGGCCTTTGAGAAGGGCACTTGGAGGACAATTTGGCAGAAAGGATATCGAATGGAAGCGTTAAACAGGGCGATATAGTGAGAATAAATGTTGATTCAAATGGCAAAATATTGGTTTAGTAATTTAATGCAGTTCCATAATCAATTGAATAAAGATTATTAGTTTATATTGTGGATTGGATCAATCTAAAACAACGTAACTGCAGTAAACAAGGCCAGGATTATTAAATCTTGAGCTCATGCATATTAAAACTTTCAATTAATTTATTCTTTTTATTCCTTATTTAGTGTCGAATCAAATTAGCTTGACAACACACAATACATATCTAGGATGGATGATATTGGTCTATTGGATAGATATTGATATCAAAAACTAATTTTTGTCAGAGTTTGAGCTTGAAGGAAGGCAAAAGAGGCAGAACACTGCCGAAGAATGCCAATGGATGGAAGCTTGACAAAGTAGCAGAAACAATGCTGAAGAATGTCAAGAAAAGAGATAAAAAAATACTGTAATTTTTGTGTATATTTTCGTGTATTGTAATAAGTACATTAGTTAATTTATATAGTGGCTTTGAATACAATAAAGGCAATGAAATAATGCAGTAAAGGAAATGTAATAAAATTTTAATTACAAAATCAGTCAAATAATTGTGAATCAATAATTGCTTGATTCCAGCATAACATTCCATATTTCATCACTCCCCCCTTAAGCTGTTGGGTGGATATTGATATCAAAAACTAATTTCCTTTCCTATATTATAATTCTTTCCTACATCGGATTCCTACCCCCACGGGAACTCTTTCTAAGAAAGTTTAATAGGTTTCATCTTAGTATTTTATTTGTATATTATGCTTAAACGCACGCCAAATTCACCCACCACAAATCGTTGTTCGGAATTAACATGGAGAAAATTTCAGTTGCAGAATCTCAGCGACTTTCTGGAATGGAAAAGGCTTTGCAGAGGCATATAATTGGGCAGCCAGAAGCTGTTGAGGCCGTCAGCCGCGCCGTGCGTAGAGCTAAAGTGGGAATTAGAGACCCGAGCCGCCCTTTATCAAGCTTTCTATTTGCGGGTTCCAGTGGCGTCGGAAAAACTGAGCTTGCACATGCTTTAGCAGTTGAATATTTTGGGTCAAAAAAATCCCTAATCAGGATAGACATGAGTGAATATATGCAGAGATCTGCTGTTTCAAAGTTTATTGGATCGCCTCCGGGTTACATTGGCTCTGCTGACGGTGGTCAACTGACTGATGCTGTACGGAGGCAGCCTCACAGTGTGGTTCTCTTTGATGAGATGGAGAAGGCTCATCCTGATGTGTTGAATATTATGCTTCAGGTTTTGGATGATGGTCGTTTAACGGATAACAAAGGGAAGACTGTGAACTTCAAAAACACTTTCATAATAATGACTTCAAATGTTGGTTCTGATATAATTGCTGAGGAAAGCCATTTGGGGTATGATGAGGTGAAGATGAAAGTTACAGAAGAGTTGAAAAAGAATTTCAAGCCTGAGTTCTTGAATAGATTTGATGAACTGATTGTTTTTAGGCAATTGACTTACTGTGAGCTAAAAGCAATTGTTGAGATCATGCTGAAAGAACTTTATCAAAGGGTAAAAGCAATAAAAATAAATCTTGAAGTGACAGAAAAATTCAAGGAAGAATTGGTGAGACAGGGGAATGATCCTGCCTATGGAGCAAGGCCACTGAAGAGGGCAATCAGGAGGCTGGTTGAAGACACATTGGCGGAGAAGATATTAAGTGGAGCGGTTAAGGAGGAAGATAATGTCAAAATGGATTTTGATTCTAATGGCAACATAATAGTAAAGCAACGTTTTGTCTTGGATTAATATTATTTAATATTTCTTTTTCTATGTAAGCATTGAGTAATGTTATGCGTACTCACAGATCTTATTAACCATCTTATTAACCTTTGTTAAAATTACATATAGTATGATTGAGGTACCCGTATTATACTTTATATTTACAAAGGTTAGTACGATGATTAGTACACTCGTAAGTACGCATAGTATTATTTGTAAGCATTTTATGTTTTTGTTTTTGCTTTTGAATCCTGGTGATATATTGACCAATAGAATTTTATATAGTCTTTGATTTATCCACATTTTGCATCATTCCGGAATCCAGAGGTCAATGCTAATAATCAAATTTCGGTGGACTTCAACAACAACTTGAGAATAATTACTTCAAATATCGGTGCTAATATAATTGCCCAGGAAAGTCATTTGGATTTAAACAATTGAAGATGAAAGTTTCTGAAGATGGTTGAAAAAGAACTTCAGGCCTGAGTTCTTGAATAAATTTGATGAGCTGATTGTTTTCAGGCAATTGGCTTACTCTAAACTGAAAGAAATTGTTGAGAGATTTCTGAAACAAGTGTATGAAAGAGTAGAAGATCATGAGGTGAAATAATTATTTAATGAAGAAGAGTAAACCGCCCTTTTCCATCCAAATAATGGTCTAATGACACTTTTCTATAAAAAAAATTTCAACATACAAATTATACTACAAGGATGGCTGGTCAATCTGATTCTCCTATCTCTCTGTTTTCTCTATGTATATAGAACCACAGGATCTAAACACAATAGAGACATTGGTTAATTCATATTTACCCACTAAAATTTCATATTTTTCCAGTGTTTTTTTCGTAATAAAACATTGGTTAATTCATAATTTCTCACACAGTGCTTTTTATATCAAAACGTTTTTCCTGCTTTACATGATTTCATCCTTTCTATTCAAGTATGGTACTAATTCTTCGATCATTGACATTGTTAAGCAAATACGTTGGTGTGTTGGATCCATAAGCCTAGTAGCCGGCGAAAGTCACAACTAGGGCTGTGCAAAAAAATCCGATATCTGATCCGATCCGAAAAAATCAGATATCCGAAAATTCGGATCGGATACTGATCGGAATTTTAAAAAATCTGAATATTCGAATTGGATACCGGATCGGGAATGTTAAAAAATCGGATATCCGAATTCGATCCAGATTTTACTAAACTATGTCGTTTTGAGTGTAACAATAACCCTAAGTCTAACACAATTAACTCAGTTACTCAACTCTTTGTCTCTCTCACTCTCAGTCTCTCTCGCTGGAAGCCTGGAACACGTAGTCACGCACAGTCGCACAGACCTCACACACTCTCTGTCTCTCTCACTCTTAGTCTCTCTCGCTGGAACACGCAGTCACGCACATACCTCACAGTCTCACACACAGTCACTCAAACTCTCAGACCAGATCTCAGCTCAGTCTCTCACTCTCTCTCGCTCAACTCTCTCGGTCTCTTTCGCTCTAACACGCACAGATACAGACAGACACACAGTCAATCAGCCACTCAAACTCTCTCAGACTCATATCCCAGTCTCTCTAGCTCAACTTTCTCGGTCTCTCTCGCTCGAACACACACAGCGGCCAGTCTCTCTCGCTCAACTCTGTCAGATCTCAGTCTCTCTGACGATTGAAGCCCCAAATCGATCGTAAGTTAATTTCTTTAGAATTTAGAGTTGCTGAATGTTTGGTTTGTCACCATTTTATTTAATGTTGTTTGGTTTCTTGGCTTGTACAATTTTCTATGGGATAGGATGCGAGCTATCCGGATCGACCTGAGGATGCAACATATTTTTTAACCAAGAAGCTATTACTATGCTGGAACAAATGGTGTATACTTTTTATGCAATCTTCAGTTTTTGTTTGTATGATATTTAGGTTTTTGTGATGTGATACCTGTTAGCTTAGCTGTAAGATCTCTTGTTAGTGTACAAGCGGTCTTGCACTCTATTGTTTAGAGGGGTTTGGTTTAAATTTATTAGTGGATTTAAAAAAAAAATATCTATATATTTTAGAGATAGGTGTATGGAGCTTGAAGAAAGTGAATTAAATCTTGAGACCAGACACGGAAATTACTTACATCCATATGATTGGAAGTCAAAGTTAGGGAGCATTTTGATATTGTAGCCTCGTGTTGCTGTTCTGTGTTCTCTAAGCATGTTGGGCTGATCTTTCTAGCACTTGCTTCAAGTGATGTCAATGACATATTAACTCTGGATGGATATAAAGTTAAATAATGCTTTTTCTGATTGTTTTAGTATAGAGTATTTCTGGTTGGAGTCATGGTATTGCTTGCTTGTTGGTGTGATCAAGTTTAGTATATGATTGGAAGTCAAAGTTAGGGAGCATTCCAAATGCATGTTGATTTAATCGGTTTATTGAGCATATTTTCATTTTCAGTATATTGATTTTGTTGTTAATCTTAAAAGTTGTTTATTGAAATGGTTTATTTGTTTGGTTTTGTTTTGTACAGGAGGATGATGACGAGTAGTTAAGGCCTAAGGGAGACAAAGCCATCTGATATGAAGATAAGCATAGCAATTTAGGCAGTTGGTCAATTCAGATAGTTGTTTTAATAATTTGACACATCAGGTGGAGCCTTACGCCCAACAATTTCATGTTCTTGCTGCTGCGTGGTTTGATGGCATGTTGATCCAAATCTGTTGGTGTTAGTGGCTCAAAATCATAGTCATTGTCAACCAGAGAGTGCAGATACAATGGTCAATCTGGTAACAAGAAACCATGTGTGAGGCGAGTAGGAATTGGCAATGAAGAATTGAAGATAGCGTAGTCATTTAGGTTGTGACAGTGTTTGGACAACATAAGTTAAATGTTTTGTGCTTCATGTTAATTTTTTTAGATACTTTTATCATGTAATTATAAGGGAATTATAATTTCAATTTTATTTCTAGAATTATTTGATTTTAATAAGAAAATTTTAAAATTCGGATCAATTTCTGATATCCGATTATCTGATCCGAATAATCGGATATCCGTAAAACCGAATATCCGCATAATTCGGATCGGATCAGGAAAAGCCCTATTCGGATCGGATATCCGGATTTGCACACCCCTAGTCACAACATATAATGGTAGAACTCCGACTGAGAATTGAAAGTACAAAGATTTTAACATTATTGTTGCCTAATGCAAGAAAATTATAAGGGAAATGGTAAGTTTTGGAGGCAAAGATTGGAAATGTATATAGGACATAAATTTACAAATCATCTACATCCTAGTACATGTGGAAAGTACCACAAGAGCAATATCCACCATATAGTTTGCCTACAATTCAAGCTATCACTATTTACTCGTAGGACAAGAAATCTTAGTTTAGTTTTTGCTCATCCAACAAAAAAATGTAATAAAGTTTTTTCACATCCATCTGTTAATTTTAACTCGGAAATGACAGAATGATAAATACATTGATAAGAATTATATTTAAAATATATGAATAGAATTTCAGAATCGTTCATAAGTTGTAGCAGAGAAATTATTGGTAAAACTTATATATCTAAAATACATAAAAAGAAAATAAGACTTGTCAACTTAAAAGTCTTGGATGTTATAATATACAAAGACTTGCCAACCTGAAAGTAGTCCTTGAAACACTCAATTTCATTACCATAAGAAGATAACACAAATTAAAAAATTAAAAAAAAAAAACAAAACTTTATGCATTAATTTCAATAATAAAAAATTATAGCTTTATATGTCCCACACATGAATTCCAACCATTAAATTTTGTAATTTTTATAAAAAGAAATTTAGAATATTGAAAAAGCTATGGGAACATTGAATATCAAACACCCTTTACTAGGGGTGTTCAAAAGCACTGTTTAGAACCAGAACCGATAGATACCCTGAGTTTAGTTTCGGTTCTTACCCAGAACCAGTCATCAATGAGTAGGTTTCGGTTCTAAATTTTTTGAATCGTTACTGTGCGGTTTCGGTTCCGATTCTTATAGTTAGGAACCAGAACCGGAACCAGGAACCAAGAACCGAGACTAATATAAAATAAAATTAAAGATTAGGGGGGTTAATAAAAACTTTTTGTAGAAAAAATAATGTGAATACATTTATACTTATATTTTATAACATTTAAAGTAAGTTGATTTGACTTTTGAGAATCTACCTTTACAAAGTAATGGAGTTTGTAATTTTGAATACATTTATATTTATATTTTATAACATTTAAAGTAAGTTGATTTGACTTTTGAGAATCTACCTTTACAAAGTAATGGAGTTTGTAATTTTGAATTTATAATTTGTAATTTTATTTTTGTTAACAGGTGCCAGGTGGGGGGGTATTTGTAAGTTTTTAAGGGTTTTTTTTTGCGATTTTAAAAACTTTTGGGGGGTCATGTAATTTTATAGGATACCCAGAACTGGAATCAGAATCGTTGTTACAGGTTCTGGTTCTGGGTACCTAGAAACCGGAATCGTCAGTTTCGATTCTGATTTCAAATTTCAAGAAACCGTCAGTTCCGATTCCTTAAAAAAGTACAGAGTACCTAGAATCAAACACCCCTACTCTTTACTCGATGTTGCGTGAGTAATTGAAATTCAGATATATTATAATTATTTAAATTAAAAAAAAAAAAAAAAAGACTCGTAAATAGTCCCAAAATATTTTTGTCTAAAATTTATATATCATGTCATTATAACAAAATCTACTGAACCCAAAACCAACCCTTCATAAGACTCTTCAAAACCTCTCTTTCTTGTAGATTCTTTAAACACTGTTAAAATCACAGCTCCGTCACCACTGTATCTTCGTTTCCCGTTTTACCTCTCAGAATCCAGTGGAATTACCAGTACGCTAAGGTGGGGTTCCCAAATTCTACCAGAATTAGGGTTTTTTTTTTTTTTTTTTTATTTTCAATTTGTTGCAGAATCAAGAATTTAGGGCGCTAATTTCTTGAATTCCGAATTTGCCCATTACGGAGACGGTAAAATTTGATGAAATCATGGGCGACTGGGAGAAAGAATTGACGT